GCTGACTGATATTTTCTGTTTATTCAGTTAAAATAAATATCCTATCGGGAAACATAGTCTTTAGTCTATTTTATGAATACATGCATTGTAAACAGACAGAATTAGGTTCTAATCCCATCTCTACCTCTTACTGTTATAGTTAGACCATCCTGACCCAGTAATTTGCCCATTAACTTGTTACCTGGGGAATACGTATTCTGACAAAATATTCATGTGTGAGAGGACAGTTACGTGAAATAAAATATATAAAAGGCTTGTGACATATGTTCCTTAGCAGGACCCAACCTTATGTAACCCGACCTATCCTTCTCCAAATAGGCTAAGAACCAAAACCTGTTATCCAAGTAAAGAAAGAAATATGGGGCCAGGCACGGTGGCTCATGCCTGTAATCCCAACACTTCTGGGAGGCTGAGGCAGGAGTATCATTTAAGGCCAGGAGTTCAAGACCAACCCTGGCAACATAGTGAGATCCTGTCAACTCCAAAAACAATAAGAACAAAAAATAAGTCCGGCATGGTGGCACACACCTGTAATCCCAGTTGAGGTGGGATAGTCATTTGAGCCTGAGAGGTAAAGACTGCAGTGAGCCGTGGTCACGCCACTGTGCTCCAGCCTGGGTGACAGAGCAAGAACCTGTTTCAAAAGAAAAAAAAAAAAAAAAATATATATATATATATATATATATATATATATGGAGAGAGAGAGAGAGAGAGAAAGAGAGAGAGTCAACTAGCAATGTCCTGTTATTTTGGCCTCTAGGATTTTGAAATATTTACCCTGGGATAGTGATTTCTTATAGCTCCAATCATGTTTTTGAACATAAAAAAAATCATTGTATTATACAAAGGTAGCCAGTAGATTTTCTTCTTAAAGCTGTTTCTAAATATCCAAAGACTCCAGTGATTCATTAAAATACTTTTGTTTCCCTAGGAAAAAAAGTTTCCACAAATGCACGGTAATCATTTGGCATTTTGTAGGCTTAAGCCTTGGGGAGTTAGTGGTATTTGGTTCCTGACATGGAAGCCTTTCTCTTGTCAGACAAATCCTTCCCCTGCACATTCCTGCTAAAAAGTTTGTTGCTGTTGTGCCTAATGGCAGGCAGTGTGGTGTACTGCCCAAGCAAACTCTCCACGCTGATACTTTAGCCTCTCTGTGAGTTAGCTTTAACTTTACAGCTAGTCATCCATTTGTTGTTTCATCTTACTCCAGAGTCATTAGACCTGGGGGAAAATTGTCATAACTATGTAGTGGTGAAGAGACATAAATGTGCATTAAAAAATGCAACAACTTGTAGTCTTTAAATTCTCTTTAGATGACTTTATTTTTGTTAACATTTATGCAGGGATTTGTAAGAAAAACATAAGTATTTCTGAGAAATCTGGATATTTTTAGGAAGTGATTGTGCATTTTGAGAAAAATACAAATTAGATTATGTTTGACCTTGATTTAGGAAATCTTTGTTCTGATGATTTGATATTTAGTCTCAATGTTTTGAATTTTGTAAATTATTCCCATGAAAGAATGTAATACTAGGAAAGTTTCACTGAAGGAGCAAACACCAAGTGAATACAGCATACGGCAGCAGCACTCATGAGCAAAATATTTAGTTTAAAAAAAAAATACATTGATTTAAAGCCACCAAAGCACAGACATCAGAAAGTAGTTGAGGCACCAGAGTCTATGGAGAAGGAAATTAAGATGGGATGAATGGCAGCATTTGAATCAATTGCTGTTTAAATACTTTTTCTGTTTTCTTCATGATCACATGTAATGTTAAAAAATGTATGCAAATTCAACCTTGGCACATTAGGTAGTTATCAGGCCATTTGGATGTTTTGAGATTCTTATTTTAACCAGTACTGTTGATTGTGAGGCTACAAATGTCTGTGTATGTGAGTGAGTGTGTGTGTGTGTGTGTGTGTGTGTGTGTGTGTGTGTGTTGTAAATGTAAATATTTAAATTGGTTTAGTATAATCTGCAAAAATTAACCTAACTTTATATGAAAAAAAGTGCAAGTGGCAATGGTAGACGTTCCTATGTCCTGTCTATTGGCAGATATATTATAAGCCTTTTTTTTCATTTTATGTCTTTGATAGTTTTCTAGCAAATTTATTTAATTAGTGAAAGAATTGGCTTAAAGAACCGAGAGAGAGAGAGAGAGAGAGAGAGAGAAAGGAAAAAGAAAGCATATTATATAATCATTCCAAAAAATGTATTTAATTAGAGGAATCAGTACAGCTATTTTAAAGAACCATTTATGTTTGCTATATCAAAAAGGAATATTTCAGTGTACATATTTATATCAATATAGATACGTCACACATATGAAATAAAAAGAATATAAAGAATGCATACATTGAGATAATTCTTTTTCTGAAATAAACTGATGACAGGGATTTTAACACAGGGGCAGCCTTGCTTACTATTTCCTACTGGATATTGAAAAATATAATTTTTAGGTTAGTTTATTTCTATCCAACCACTCAAAAATTGGTAGGACAAGTAACACAGTATTATGAAGCATTTAGAAAATTGTGATATCTTAAATAGATTGAATTTCTGTAGTTTAAATATAATAGTTTAATTGATTTTAAAATGTCAATTTAAAAATTGATATTTTCTAATTGCTGCTATTGATCAGAATAGTATTTGACATTTGTATCAGGATTCATGGCTTTCAAATCCTTTACATATACATAAATTCAGTTATATTTCATCTAAGAATTAATTGCTGTCAATTAAGGGTAAACTAAAACATTGGCTTTATTTGGGTTATTAATAGCCAGCCTCTTTTATTTAAAGGATGAATGCTACAATTAAACAAATAAGGCAATTATATGCAAACCTCACTCTCACAAACTGATGCTGAGCTGGACATTAACAGAAAAAAGAAATTAGTTTCACAGATAATAATGAAAAAATGTAGACAATGATGCCACCATGTAGATAGGTTTCAGTTTTTTTTTTCATACAAAAAGAGTGCTACTTTCTAATGTGCCAGAATATCCAACAGAGAGCGTGTGCATATGGCTTAAACAGTACATGTTTTAGGTAAATACACATGCACACTAAGAAGCGGTACTGTGATCTGACCAATACATCATAATATTCATTTAATTTTATAATGGAATTTAAAACTAGCAGTAGCTTTAGAGGTTGTTTAGTTCAGTTCTCTCATTTTACACATGCCATATGTTTCTATGGTGTTTTTACTATTGAAGTTAAATATAAACATGTTCAAATCTGTGCTGAAGTAGCTTATGAGAAATAAAAACCCTCAGTCATTCCAATCACCTATTCATCAGCAAGGCACATTCATTACAAAGAATGAATTATCTAGCCATCAATGAATGTTAACTATATTGACACAAATTTTAAGTAAAATCAAAATATATATTTATAAATAACATCCTGAAATGAGAACTAGCAGCCATAGTATTTCCGAATATTGCAGGACTCACCTTATACAGGAACAATGTATTCACTGCTAGGGGAAAGGGGTTAATTTATTGAATGGTGCATTTATAATCTATAGCTATACCTTTTGAAGCTATTAATGTCATTAGAAACTTAGAGTCTGGGATATGCATTTTGCTAACAATTGCACGATTACCGAGTATTCTGGAGTGACTTATCTGTTTCTATTCATACTCATTTTCCAGCAAGCTTTTTTTTCAAAGTAAGAAAAATGGAATGATCAAGGATCAGGTTTTGCAGACATAAAGATGACAGAGAAAGCTCATTTGGTCACTAGAATAACACATTTCAAAATCTTTAGCGTTATCTTCTCATGTAATTCATATTGAAGTTGATAATAAATGTAATATGTGCTCAGTGAAAAATGTTTGGAAATACTGAAAGGAGGAATAAGAAAATGACAATTAACTACAAACGTATTAGCGAGGAAAACAATACAAAATACGTTTTTGTAAATCTTTTCACTCTACGCATCCCTCCCTGCCTTTCCCCACCACATACATGCACATGCATATCCATACGCTAGACATCCCTCGCTCCCGCCATTTCCCAGCATATATGTATGCACACGCATGTCTACACCTGTATGTTTTCCTTATGCATCTGGCTCTGCAGCTTATATGATTTCTGACTTTTGGCAAGTTACTTAACTTTTCTGTGCCTTAGCTTTTTAATCTTTACAATATGGATAGCATTAATATCCATGTTATAGAACTTTACAAATTAAATGAGAGGATAAATATAAAGTTTTAGAAGCATGTCTGACAATGCATATTATTATTAGAGTTATAATATACTTTTAAACATTTTAAATAAATGAATCTTTCTCATTTTTATTTGAAAGATTAGCCCATTACTAGTATTTTATAAAATTTTCATAAGCCATAATAAAACTTGTTCCCCTCCTGATAATGGTAGTTAAGTGGAACATCTGAAAAATATGTTCCATGCAAAATGGATCTTCACACAAACTTATTTTGTCATTTTAGTTTGATTTTTGAGAAATGAGTTCGGCACATCTGCCAAATCCTTTTATAAGATGCCACATTCCTGTTTTTATTTTAGTTTATTTTATTTATGAAAAGTTCGTTTCTCCTCCACCCCACCCCCAGACAGTCATTCCTTTTTGTGCTAAACCATAACATTGCTGTACATTACATTTTTAAAAGTAAACCAAAACTGGAAAGAAAAACTAGAAGGAATATGCCACTATTTTTTAAAAGTCATTCTCCTATTGGCCTAGCTAGAGGGGAAAAAAATCCTGTTTTGAAAATATACTGTTTGATAATGGACGTTTATGTTTGTTTGCCAAATGTAGAATCACAGACGTTTTTTTGTTTTTGGTGTGGGAAGGAGGCAACTGGTTTGGGGAGGAAAAAATGGAGTAAAGCAGATGAAGAAGAATCAGTTTGCAAGCATATGTTAATATTTAGATTCTTTTTTTTAAAAAAATGAAAACTTAACTAGTTAATGCTCTTTTACAAACTGTCTTTGATACTGTGTTTTGTTTATTCCATCCCAGAAGAAGTTAGCGGTATTCAGCAAGATGCAGGACTCTCTGGAAGTCACCCTTCCCAGCAAACAAGAGGAGGAGGATGAGGAGGAGGAGGAGGAGGAGGAGGAGAAAGACCAGCCTGCCGAGATGGAGTACCTTAACTCTCGCTGTGTCCTTTTCACTTATTTCCAGGGAGACATTGGGTCAGTAGTGGATGAACACTTCTCAAGAGCTTTGGGCCAAGCCATCACCCTCCATCCAGAATCTGCCATTTCAAAAAGCAAGATGGGGCTAACCCCCCTATGGCGAGGTAAGAATTCAAAAGCAGATGCTCTCCAGGGCACTGTCTCTGTTTTGCAACTGCCTGAACCAGGTTCCAGCTGGAGACTTGCCCCTGAGGATGGATATCCACTTGCTTTTTAATACTTAAGGACAGCGAGGAATTTCTTTCAAACAAACAGCTGGATTGGTTTTGTCGCATGTGGAATGCAGGATTGGAAAGGATGCAGTCACACCCCTTAAATTCCTCATGAAAAGTAGTGATACAACCGGCTTGAGTTTATAGTGGCTGGATGGAGCTGTGAAGCACCATTCCTAAAGCCCCAGTGGCCCAGTTTGGTTCTGTAAATAATAGGCGTGCCTAAATCAGCTTTTAAAAAATTAGCTGTTGCTCATTCCAATAGGTGCTGTGTGGCGACACAGAAGAGACCCGAGTCTGACCCAGGAATACAGACCTTGGGAGCTGCCTGTGTTCTTTTGATAGACTTCTCTGTCCTAATTTGTTGCAGTATCAACTCTTTGTGGTATACAATCTAGCCACTCTTGGCAGCGTCTACATGGTTTAAACTAGTGTTTTTACCTTGATAAAGAAAGAGGAGTACATTGGGCTTCTTTATTTCTTCCTCTATCGAGGTCACAGAGATGTGTTTGAAACTGATTTCTGACTCACAGAAAATTATTGGTGACATCTAAATCAGGGTAATTACAGGGTTACAGAAAAACATAATACGTCATTCCAATGACAGCTTCAGAGAAATCTGTTACAGCAGTGATTTCTTCCAAACTCACCTGGTTACAGGAATGACCTACTAAAATGGTTCTCAAGGTATGATTTTCCTGACCGGGAGCATCAGTGCCACACGGGAGCTTGTTAGAAGCACAAATTCTCCACCCTAGAACTGCACAGTCATAAACTCTGAGGTGGGGCAATCTGTGTCTTAATCAGCCCTCCCAGTGACTCAGTTGCAGGCTCGAGTTTGATAATCATTCATCTAGTGCTGTTAGACAGTTTGCAGGCCCCCCCTTATCTTGAATCTCTTGACCTGGAATCTTCATAGGAAGGTGTGGGAATCACACTTTAACAAGGGTAGGGGTGACTCCTATCACGAGGAAAAGCTGGCCACCTGTGGACAGGGCCAGGTGAGCAGTGAGCAGTGACTAGTGATCCCCTCTCAGCAGCCCAGGACTGGTTCTGCTCTACTGTAAAAGTCCTGGCCACATTGAATTGCTGGGCCTGATTTTTCTTATCTGCTTTACGTTTCTTTTCTTCTCTCCCTCCTTCCCTTCTTACTCTCTCTCCTTCCTTCCCTCCCTGCTTGCTCTCCTCTCATCTCCTTTCCTTTTTTTTTCTTTACTTCCTTATTTTTCCTTTTAGTAAACATAAACAACACTAAACAGTGACTCTAAAGGGGAAGGTGAATTACAAATAAAACATCCAAGTTCTTAATAGAAATGAATTGAAATACATACTATTTATTAGATTAGTAAATATTACGGACCTACTACGAGAACTGAGACTTAGTCCTTGGAAGCCCAAGATGCTTATGTAATCAACTAATGTCCTATTTAACAGGACATGATGAATACGTTTAATAATTTGTAGAGGAGGAAAATAGGAAAACATTAGTGAATTAGATGGCTTTAATAAATAATTTGCTATATCAATAATAAATCCTATCATGAAAATCAGTCCCAGGAGAGTAGCAAACATAATGTCTACTTCTTTTAGCACATGGGCATATGCAACCTTGCTATCATTTAACCTGAAAGGTCAGAATTAAAGTCCCCAATTTTTTCTTGGTGCGAGAGTGATTGTCTATAGTATCATATTCAAAATAATTTTAAGTGTGATGTTGTGAATGTGCAGAAACCCTGCGATACATCAGTGTTTTCTCTGTAATCTGCATAACACAATATACAAGGTCCTTTAGCAGATGTTAAATTTTAGCATAGAAAGGGTTTATAAAGGTATTATTAGAATTTTCTTGGAATCGTCTTCAATTTGATTTTCAAGTATGTCTCCTGTTTGATTTATTTACTTACTCAGCAAACATTTCTCAACCTCCTGCTGTGTGTTAGGCAATGTGCTGATTCCTGAGACTCTATCAGTGAAGGAGACAGCCCAAGGCTCTATCCTCATGAACTTTGCCACAGTTGTTTTTAGTTGTGAATTAGTCAGATTTAGATAAACATATAAAACATGGCGCTGACGTTATGGGGTAGAATCTGAAAACAAACAATTGTTACCAAAGGTGCTATTTTACATAAGGTGATAACAAAAGCCCTGTCTGACACAGTTGTGTTTGAGCAGATAGCTGAAGGAAATAAGAATACTCATCATATGGTTATCTAGGGAAAAATATTCTACACAGCGGGGACACACAGTACAAAGGCCCTGAAGATGGATTGAACTTAGACTAATACTCCATAAGAAGCAAAAATACTGGTGTGAGGGGAACAAAAGGAAAAGTGATAGGTGGAGAACAGATATTTTAGAGCTTTGTGTGTGTGTGTGTGTGTGTGTGTGTGTGTGTGTGTGTGTGTCGGAGTTTTGTTCTTGTCACCCAGGCTGCAGTGCAACGGCGCAATCTCAGCTCACTGCAACCTTTGTCTCCTGGGTTCATATGATTCTCCTGCCTTAGCCTCCCGAGTAGCCGGGATTACAGGTGCCCGCCACCACGCTCAGCTAATTTTTGTTTCTTTATTTGTTTTTTAGTAGAGACGGAGTTTCACCATGTTGGCCAGGCTGGTCTCGAAGTCCTGACTTTAGGTGATCCACCCACCTCAGCCTCCCAAAATGCTGGGATTACTGGTGTGAGCCACCACGCCTGGCTGTTTTAAAGCTTTTTACATCAGTTTATCAGAGTATACCAGGAACACAGCATGCACTTCAATTTTCATCTCCTATTCTCCCACTAAGTCTACAAACACCACATCTGCTTATCATTCCTCATTTTTTCTGATGCTCACAGCAATGTGTTTCTATGTGGAAAATCTGAAATAAATATGAATTGATTAAGTGACTGAATTAAATGAACAAATTTCATACCATGTATCCAGAATTAGAAAACAAAAAGCCCTTAATAGAAAATTTCTTGGTAATAAGTTATATGAAATCTTTGGGTACAGTTTTCTTATTTATAAAACAAGGTGGTTGAATTCAATAATTGGTAAAAATCTTTTCTTCTGTAAAGTTCTGTGATTTCAAATGTATTACTTGCTTTTCTTAGAACTTTGCCATAGTTGTCTTTAGTTGCGAATTAATCAGATTTAGATAAACGTATAAAACTTGCATAGGATTTACAGGAGAGCCACAAACGGAAATTAAAGATATAGAAAATGTCTTAAAGAAGAGGTCCAATAAAATGAGATTCACATTTTCATTCTCATAAAATAAGAGAGTTAGTGACAATTTAATTTTAATTGGCAAAGCTACACAGGATTGGAAGAATGCAGTCTTTGGAATCCATTTGTTTTAGATTCATGTCCCAGCCATTACCTTCTGCTTGCAATGTGATCTTGGATTACTAAATTAAAATCTCTTACATCAGCTTCCTCAACTGTAATATATGTTTAAGGATACCCATCTCCTAGAGTGATTGTAAAGATTTTTTAATAATGTATACGAATCATTTAGCACAGAGCTTGACTCAAGGTGTTAAATGAAAGTCAGATGCCTTTTCTCTTTTCCTTAAGTAAGTTTTCACTCATTTGGCACATAGAAAACAAACCCTGAATCTTTATCCAGGAACATTGTTTTCTGGAACTTTGTGTTTTTGGTACAAAACACAGAGTCCTAGATAATAGTAGATAGTAAAGGCTATTGATAATGTTAGTCCATGGTAATGATGCTTAGAAAGGAACTGCTGACCAAGTGTTAAAGGTCTAGTTTCCAGCATCAAGTTATTACAGTGCCACAGAAGTGGTACCGTGCTAAAAACAAATTTAATAACTGAATCATGTTTGACTGCAGTTCCATGGTAAATCTTTAGACAAAGAATAGTGTGTGTGGCTAATTATGAAATAATGGTTATAGTTTGAATGTGTATCTTCTTGATGAAGCTGGGAAAGTATTTTTAGGTAAGGCAAACAGTGACGGAAAACATATGTATTTTATTTGGCTCCATGTCTCACCAGTTACCTCTAATCCTGCTATATATTCTAACGGGGTTGAGAGAATTTCATTTCTCCATTAAAAAAACCTAACAAGCTCACGCCTGTAATCCCAGCACTTTGGGAGACTAAGGCGGGTGGATCACCTGAAGTCAGGAGTTCGAGACCAGCCTGGCCAACATGGTGAAATCCAGTCTCTACTAAAAATATAAAAAATTAGCCAGGTGTGGTGGAAGGCGCCTATGATTCCAACTGCTTGGGAGGCTGAGGCAGAAGAATCGCTTGAGCCCAGGAGGCGGAGGTTGCAGTGAGTCGAGATTGTGCTATTGCATTCCAGTTTGGATGACAGAGTGAGATTCCATCTCAAAAAAAAAAAGACAAAGAAAGAAGGAAGGAAGGAAAGAAGGAAGGAAGGAAGGAAGGAAGGAAGGAAGGAAGGAAGGAAAAGAATGAATGAAAGAAGGAAGGAAGGGAAAAAGAAAATCTAATGAATATGAGTGTTCCCTTATCTCCATGTAAATATGTGTTTATTGATACCCTTTTCCTAGAGTTATTATGAAGATTTTAAAATATGACTAATTTAGCACAGAGCTAAACATTAGCTTCAAATTTGTCTATGCACTGATCTTTGCAGAATGTGTGTGTGTGTGTGTGTGTGTGTGTGTGTGTGTGTGTCGTAGAAAAGGGAGGGAGTTATGTCAAGCCACAGCAGAGTAGATCACTGACTTAAAACCATACCGAATGCTAATCTGATATTGTAGTTGCAAAGAAAATGATCTGTTGGCTCATTGATGTACATAGGGCCTTCTGGGGCAATTCATTCTCATAGGAAAGAACCCTCAAAATAAGTACAAAACCTAAATGGTCAAATGGAGAAAGGAAAAGGAGGGCCTGTCTGATGAGCTGGCTGATACTGGAAATGAACAGAATGTCCACAGGACCAAGACATGGGGAAAAAAGTGAGGTATGACTTATCTCACCCTGCTGCCTCCAAGGAGTATCGGCATCTGACATCACCCGTTGAAACTCATTGTAGTCACAAGGTCCATTTTGAGCAGCTCTAGAAGAAAGTAACTAGAGGGCAATCTTTGGACATAATGTTAATGCATAATTACTGAATGACAGAAAACATTGGAACACAAGTCATTTTACCTCTGACCCAGTCATTTATTTTCATGGGAAGAACAAGAGAATGACAATGAAATTACAGCAAGAACACTTTAGGTTAGGGATTGAGAAGAATTTTGTTTTTTAACTGATATTAATAAAAAACATAAAAATGTTACCTTTTAACATGATAATAATGTTTTTAATCAGTAAGTGATTTGAATAATGTGCTTTCTGGACGGTTTTAAGATGACTTGGAGGTTCTGCGACACTTCGTTGTGCCATTTTCTTTCTAATTTAGTTATTATTTTTAAAATTAAGTAATAAGGTGTATCATTCTTTAAATTTTGAATCTTATCTTTCCTACATTTTGTGTGTGTGTGTGTGTGTGTGTGTGTGTGTGTGTGTGTGTGTGTTTAAAAAAGAGACATTTAGAATCAATCCAAAAAGTATCCCGGCTATTATGTAATTGAAAGAAATATCTGGTATTCTATGTGGAACTCTTTCATGTCTTTAAAATGTATTTCTGACCTAAATCAGATAGTGAGATTACTAGGTTTGCTTCGAGTGGATTGTATTGGACAATGAATCAATATTATCAATTTCTTTTTTGTCTAGAAATAAACCTCTATTTATGTATGTTTGAGTGTGTAATATTTTTAACCCCAAATGCAAATTGAAACAAAATTATAGTTAGGCTTTTTGTATACATTAGAGTGTCCGTGTTAGACTCATTCAAATATTGAGGTTAACATCATCTATATATCAGGTAATATTGAATACAAAGTCACCAAATAGTGTTAATAGCATACAGTACTGTATTGCCTCCACTAACCTGAAATGTAATATTGCATAGAAATGGCTCATGCCGTTTTTCACATGTTTTCTTCATCCAACAAATGTGGCTGTGATTAAGTACTCATAAGCAAAGAGTCATGTAATGAAAAAAATTTGCATACATATGAAATAAGCACACTGATTCTCAGGCATGACACAAAGCATATCATCTTTTCCTTTGTATCGAGATTCTTTAAACAAGCAAGACACCAAATAGTGATTTTGAAGTATAAACTTCTTCATAAACATATTTTCAATTCAATATTGTTTCACTTGTAAATGCAACAGGCTTTTATTTTTTTAAAAGGGCTGCATAGATCTTTGCAAACTTTATATTAATCTCAAGAGACATATTAACTGGGAAAATATTAAGTTCCTTTTAATTTTATTTTTCCCTGGAGCATTTTAAAACTTTGTTCAATCTTTATGGAGTGCATTTTCGGAAATAGATTTCTACTTTTCTTAATAATGTCTTCACTAATCACAGTCCAATACTTCATAAATAGACCAAAAATATTTTTGGTAAGGAATTCATTCATTATTTACATTTTTGTGTGCATATTGAAAATGCGTATGCATCTATAAAATAAGATTGGCTCCATGTACATATAAATGAAACTAAAAGCATACAGGGAAATGTTATATACTCTCTGTACTTTTGACATCTTAATGGGGGATTTTAATAAAGGGAACTCTGTATCTCTGGCTAGTACTTGTGGTCGGGGTTCAACAGTTTTCATAACAGGATTCTAGCCCCTCCAGGATGTGGAATTTAGAAGCAGAATGAAGGATTTGATACCAAAGATGGGAGTTGTGAGAGCAAAGTAGCAGATGTGTGGTAGCAAAGATGACCTATGCAGAATAAGGAGCCTCTATAAACTTGGGTTTTTAAGCTTTAAACATTGATGGCTTTCATTGTAGATATGACAGAAATATTCTACAAATGACCATAATCTAAGGTAAATTGAATTTTCTTCTTACAAGTTATATGAATTTCCTTCTCGTCATTAATAGTATTTTTCACATTTTGCAAAGTGACAATCGTTAAAGAAAACATTTACCTCAAGACCAGTAAGTGTGAGTTTAGGTGGTATTTTTGGATAAATTGTGATTTTGACCAAACAAAGTCATTCGATTAAGTTTTCTGAGGTGGTTTGAAGACTTAAAGAGCACACTTCCATTCTTTGCCCTTTGATGAACATCATTTCCTAGTTTTCCCCCAAGTGTTTTGAGATCCATGGAGATGTAGTGAAGGAAGGAACTGACTGTGAGTAATTGTTTGATCTCAAAGTGGATGGGATGAATGATCATAGCTCTGGTGTCCGGATGAAGGGGAAGAGCTTGCAGTGCTGCTGCCACAGCCTTTAGGGGAGTGAAAATGTTCAAACACCATAGTAATAGCCTAATCATGTTAACCAAGTGACATACGTGGTGCTTGATTGAAGTTTTTTAAGCTATCCTTCATTCATACCCTTCATTCAATGGAAAGATCTAGCAAGGTTCTTTTATGTGGAAACCAGTATAAAAATACTCTCTTAAAGGTGCATGACTAATGTCTTTAGAAAATAGCTTCTTCTATAGATAAGAATACTCCATAGGGCACTTCACAGACTGTTAGCAGTATTAAGCCAGTAGATAATTTGAATTAATGAATTCAAAGACTTCATTTTTGCAGTGAAATAAAGTAAGCCATGGAAAGATCAGTGGGTCCATCTGGGTTGATAAAATGAGATAGGGTAAAACCTAGGATCAAAGCTGGGCTCCTTGGTCTCCTGGCCCAGTGCTTGTTCAGTTACACAACATTGTAGGCAACAGGCTACAGGTGGAGGCACTGATCTTTCTATAAACAGATTTGACTATGTCACTTTCTAGATTAAAACCCTTCAAAGCCTTGAGACCCTACTGCCTCAGCATACAATCCACCTTCAGTACCATGGCCAGCAAGTCTACACCCATCTGGGTCCTTATTTTAATAGTCCCCTTTTTTCTTTTGTTATCTCTGCCTGCTGAACTCCTTTTGTCTTTCAAATGCTGCTCCTGTTCTGTCTCTCTCTCTCTCTCTCTCTCTCTCTCTCTGTGTGTGTGTGTGTGTGTGTGTGTGTGTGTGTGTGTGTGTAATATATGGCCTTTTCTTACATGCTGGTCCATTTGCTGAAAGCTCTCTTCCCAGTGCTAACCCCCACTCAGCCTGTCAGCTTCCACTTCTCATTTTCTAAGCTGGGTCGGTGCTCCCTGTGCTTCCTGTTGGGGGAATACCAACCATGTCACCTTGCACATGTCTGCTTTTACTTATCTATCCTTCTGCAGATTGTGACTAAAAATAATGTCCGTTTGGTCATCCCTGACGCCTGTGTTTGATACATACTAGGTCATATATAAATGTGTTATGATGGAGTAGGAAATTGAATTGATGAAGAGTTAGGGGATGGTTTTTTCTCTTTCTTGTTTGTCTCTAAGTGCTATTTTTTGATATTTCCACTCTTCCTCAAATACTTCCTCAAACACATGACCTCTACTTGAATTTCCTTCACCCATCGTTTTCCACAGGATCTTCACCAAATTCTAAATGTTGATAGTTACAATTGTGCCCCCTTGTGGCACTTTGTGGAGAGTACCAGCCATTGGCCATTTAGGCCGCCTAGCTTCAAAGCCTAGTCCCATTCTTGCCTTCTTAAGCCTCAGGCGACTTCTCTGTTGGGATTTTCTCATCATGGGGATAATAACAATAATTATCCCATAGGCCTGGAATAAAACTCTTATCAGATTATCCATGGAAAACTCCTGACATAGTGTTGGACATTTGATACTGTCATTAAATGTTAACCACTTTTGTTCTTGGCCTAGAGACTCCCAGATCGCCACAGAAAATAAATAAATAAACAAATAAACAAACAAATAAATAAATAAATAAATAAGGCTGGAATACACTCTACCTAATGGAAAATGAGTGTTAGCATAAGAAATTATAATCTTATTTCCATTTGTACTTTTGGCATTAACATGTTTCATTTAAATGAAAATTATATTTACACTTAGAAGTTGATAAAAATGATCATTTCCAACTTATAGAAACCTCACTTATGACATAAGCTTTCTTTAACAGTGAAGTGGGTAGCTATGACCTCCTCTTAGACCTAATGGCTGCAAGGTACTTAGAAGGAAATGAAACTTTTCAATCCCCAAATCGCAAACGTTAGCACAGACTGTAGCAGCATAAACCAAGCAAAGCAAATGGAGGGAGGCTCATTCAACACTTTGAATCCTGCAATGGACCCATTGGCTTGCGAGCCCAGAGGCCAACCTGGAATCAATTCACCCCTGTTTGAGGAGAATATGAGTGTATGCTAATTTGACTGCTTGTTAAATATTATTGGACAATTAAAGGCAACTCCATCCCAAAACTGAGTCTTATGTTAACCATGTTTTTCATTTTCTGTCTTCTCAGACAGCTCAGCTCTCTCAAGCCAACGGAATAGTTTCTCAACGTCCTTTTGGACCAGCTCTTACCAGCCCCCACCTGCACCCTGTCTGGGGGGAGTTCATCCTGACTTCCAGGTCACTGGACCCCCTGGCACCTTTTCTGCAGCTGACCCCAGTCCCTGGCCAGGACACAGCCTGCATCAGACTGGCCCAGCCCCTCCCCCTCCTGTGTCTGAGTCCTGGCCTTACCCTTTGACATCTCAGGTGAGCCCATCCTACAGCCATATGCATGACGTGTACATGCGGCACCACCACCCTCATGCCCACATGCACCACCGCCACCACCACCACCATCACCACCATCACCACTCTCCTGCTGGCTCTACCCTGGATCCATCCTATGGGCCTCTGCTGATGCCTTCAGTGCATGCGGCCAGGATTCCTGCTCCTCAGTGTGACATCACAAAGACAGAACCTTCTACAGTCACCACTGCTACCTCAGCATGGGCTGGAGCCTTTCATGGAACGGTAGACATAGTGCCAAGTGTGGGATTTGATACAGGTGAGCTGGTGGGTTTCCTTCTTTCTCTAACAAGAAAAAGTTAATTTAAGAAGGGGTGGGTCTTTTTGGAAATTTGTTTTGAAATTATTTTTTCTTATCTGTAAAGTGAAACTTTACCAACATGTTTATGGAACCTAGCCATTTTGCAATAATTTCTGCATTCCTGGAGAAACTGGTATGACTAGCTCATGAAATACAGCCGGAGAAAGGCCTAGAGCTTTTCGCTCATCTCTTCAGCTAGTAGTCTGGTTTTCTTTAAATGGAATCTCTGGTACCTTCTGTTTACAAAGAACTGAGCCCAGTTTTCAAATTTCCCATGTCTCTGTGCATTATACCATGTGTTAGGTCTAATAGAATTCAGAAATAGTACACTTGGGTAATTTTTCTTCCTCTCCTTTTTTGTTAGGCCTTATGTATGACTTATAAAAACTGCTTTGTGAAACATAGTCTATAATGTAGCCCTTTGAAAAAGGATTAGTGAACATGTTTTAAATGAATGAATTGTTCTTTCTTCCTCCCCTCCCTCCCCTTCCCTTCCTTCCCAGGCTTTACCCTCTTTTGCTTTTCCTTCTTTTCCCTTTCTTATTCCTCCTCTTTTGTTCCTCTCCTGTCTCCCTGTCTCTGATTTAAATAACACAAGGCTTAAAAAACTACTATGAAACTTATATCCAACAGCTTTAGAAACAAACACTAAGAAAACAATTTCTTCACAGAGCACTCATGTCCTCTCTGAAATTCACTGGTTCTGAAGGTTATGGTGTTACATGTCTGAACTTGATTTTTGGACCAGACTAGTCATATTAATAGTATTCATAGTTCTGAGCTCAGGAATTCACAGGCATCAGAGTCCAAAAAGACAAATTGATCATTGCATCCCTGGAGTCTACATTCCAAAGTGGTGGGTCTCAGGTCCTTTTGCTAGAACATTTTGTGGTATAGTGGAACTCTCTTTCCAAAAGTAAAAGATATTCTTTCCTTCCTTAGTTTTTCTATAGTATGGAGAACCCTTAATCATGTGCTAGTTCACAACAAATAATTCCCCAGAGTCACAAATGCTCAGCTTTATTTTACCTCTCCTGTGACCTGAGTGGAACATTCTTATTTTGGTTAACCATTCTCCACTGAGCTTTTCATTGCTGATCATTGCACCATCTAACCCATTTCAGCTTCCTATGGAGGCTGGGTTCAAGCTGCTTTTCTAAACAAAGTATCAGGACTTGGTACTCCCTCCGCAGAAGAGTATGTGGTGAGACCAGCCAGCACAGGCTTCCCTTCTTTCTTTGCCACATATCAACAGAATAAAGACAACTTGGGAGTCATTTGATGCCTGGGGCCAGATCTTTATTAGAGTTCCCAATTTGGCAGCTGCCTTCATGGGCAGCAAGTCTCAGGAGACTCTTCTCTGTCTTACATGATACCTACGTGGCGAGGGTAACAATGCTCTTAGCAGGCAAAGGATGTGTTCTTCCCTCTGTGAAGTCTACCAGTAAGGGGGAAATGGATGTGACTGTTGCTCTTTCATTTTGATGGCCTATATTTGTGCTTGTTCACTTTGCTGTGAACTTGATTCATTGGCTTGTTACAGGATTTCAGCTTGAAATAATCTCATCAAGATGAAAAGCCATTCTCACACCTTTTGGGAGAAGAAAAGTGAGTTTTTGTTCTCTGAAAATTCTTGAGAGGACTCAGTTGGATATAATTTATAATAATTATTCATACTTACAGAGTTATGAATGAGCATTTATTACTCACAATATAAGGCATTACCTGAGGTACTTTATACACACGCACACACACACACACACACACACACACACACATCCATACACAGACACTATTACTTTAAATTCTTAAACCAAATCTGAGATAGATCTTGTTAGTTTCATTTATGAATAAGGAACCTGAGGCTCAGAAAACTACTTGCTTGAATTGCATTTGTATGTGTCCAAGCTGAAGTTTGAACTAAGATGTGTCCCTTTCTAAGGGACTGCAGGGATAACATCACCTTGTATAAATAAATCAGGTAAAATCGGGTGAATTAGACTACTAAAATGGATAATAGTGAAAGATGAAGGTTTTCCTATTGGATGTGTGGAATGCTGCCCTTTGTCAGTGTGGGTTTAGGGCAGTGATCAGGATTCATTCATGTTTCATAAATTTTGACCCAATTGAGAAAACAAAGGAATCTTGAAAATAAAGATAAAATTATTAGCATAATCATTGATGAGGCAGAATTGGAAATTCTAGATTAGACTTACTGCCACAATTAGACTTCCTACTGCCTTCAGCTAAATTTAGATTCGAGGGAAATCTGGACTTCAGAGATTCCCATAGACACCTTTCTTGTTATACAGTTTAGAGCTCCATTACTGTGAAGAGATTGATGATTGCTCAGATTTTTCTCTGAAAAACATAATCTGAGGCCTAACTCTTGTGCAGTTTCCCTACAAAAGGCACAAGCAGGAGGACAGTGCACCATCATGCATGGGGGCTGGCCCAAAAGAGACAAAGAGACTGAGCCGTATGTGGTCATTTTATTCTGCTAAACTTGGATATAATAACAAATATTACATCTCACTTTCTTAGAGAGGGCAGGAGTTAGAGAGGGGTGTTGTAGGTTAATTTTTCTAGAAAACAGACTCAGGCTCATATTTGCCTGTAGACAATTCATGGGATAATGCTATCAGGGAAACATCTTTGTAGGAAGAGAGGTTTGGGCAGAAGTCTCACTGATAAAGTTAATAGAGGCCTGGATTCTACAGGGAGCTCTGGAGTGAGACAGCTCTTCATAACTGTTCTGCCTAGGGTCAAGGGGGTTGGGCTTTTACATTCCTGAATTGACCACTTAAAAGCTGTGATCTGCCTCTGGGAAGGGGACGTGATACTGGGCAAGGGGGGTTCAACTGAAGGCAATTCCCAAAGAGGGAAACAACTGAGAGTCAGGAATTGCCAGCAGCAGCAGAATAAATGCCTCAGTCCTACAGGGAGAGGGATCTGGTTGCACACCACAGTGTCCACTAAAGACGGACAGCAAAAGGGTGGTAGCTACTCTACCACTTTTCCAAATACTTTCAAATGAACAGAAGTTTCTGCATAATAGGACCAAGCTAGAAAAAGGTAGTGGAGCAGTTGGGAACAGTGACAGTTGAGTCCCTCTGTATAACTTGTGTCACATTGGCCTGACCATGCAGCCTGAACCAGTGACTCAGCTGAGAACTCAGCATCAATATTGGGTAGCTACCGAGCAGCCAAGGGAAGAAGCTTCATACATCACAAAACTTTCCAAAGTCCAGGCCACCTTGACTATTAAAATATAGGTCATTTTCATATCCATTGGAAAGTAAATACGTTAATCCAATTATTTTGAGAACAACTTGGTAAAAACATGAAATTTTCTTTCTTTCTTTCTTTCTTCTTTTTGACAGAGTCTTGCCCTGTTGCCCAGGCTGGAGTGCAATGGTGCCATGTTGGCTCACCACAACCTCTGCCTCCTGGGTTCAAGCTATTCTCTTGCCTCAACCTCCCAAGTAGCTGGGACTACAGATACATGCTACCATGCCTGGTGATATTTTGTATTTTTAGTGGAGACAGGTTTTCACTATGTTAGCCAGGCTGGTTTTGAACTCCTGACCTCAGGTGATCTGCCCGCCTTGGCCACCCAAAATGCTGGGATTATAAGCATGAGCCACTGCGCCCAGCCTAAAAAGATGAAATTTTCATCAGTAGAGAAATGATGTCTTAGTGCTTTCAAGCTGTTATAATAAAATACCATACACTGGGTAGCTTATAAACAACAGATATTATCGTCATAGTTTTGGACTCTGGGAAATCCAAGACCAAGGTTCTAAAATATTTGGTGTCTTATAAGGGCCTGTTGTTTAGATGCCCATCTTTTCATTGTAACCTCGTAAGGTGAAAGGGGCAAATTAACTTTAAGGATCTCTTTCATAAGGGCAATAATACCATTCAGAAGGGCTCCACCCTCATAACCTAATTACCTTCTAAGGCTCACTTTCTAAAACCATCATCTTGGGGGTTAGGATTTCAACATCTGAATTTATTTGGAGGGGAGTCATAAACATTCCATTCATTGCAAACAGTTTAATAATTTTAGGTGCATATTTTTCTTTGTAGTTATTTAAAGAAACTAAGGAAATCTTGAAATCTAGAAGGTTGAACATAATATAATGTTTAGTGACAAAAAAGTTTTATAGTATCATGTATAGCATAATCCAGGGGTTAGCAAAATTTTTCTGTAAAGAAACAGATAAAAATACTTTATGCTTTGCCGTTCCATACAGGTCTCTGTTACCACTATCTAATTCTGCTCTGCTCATGTAGTGTAGAAACAACTATAGACAAAACTTATATGAAGATGGTTGCGTTCCAATAAAACTGTTGATTGGTGCTGAAATTTGAGATATATATATTTCTCACATGTCATGAAATGCTACTCTGCTTTTTATTCTTCTTTTCTTCCAATCACTGAAAAATTCACTCTTGAATTCTTAGCTCATGGGTATACATAAACAGGTGATGCCGGATTTGGCCAGTGGGTAATTTCTGACCCCCAGTATTATTCCTGAGTTTTATCTTCTATACACATTCATGAATGTGGGCACATGCTCTCCCTCAAAGACAATTATCTAGAAGGGTATATCCCAACTTTTAATGGTAGTGACTCCTGGTAAGTTAGTGTATGGCATAAGCTTTGAAGCCAGACTGCTTGATTTTATAAGCCTAGCTCTGCCCCTTACGAAAGAAACAGACTCTCGACCAATGACTTTACCCTCCTGCTGCTTCAACTTCTTTATCTGTGAAGGATACCTAATAGGATTGTTTTGAGAATTAAATTAGTTCATGTAGTAAAGCATTTACAAATATACCAAGCCTAAAACAAGTACTCTGTAAATTCTAGCTATGGAAGAGAAGATGGACAGGCTTCCATTTTTTTAACTTCTAAAAATGTATTATTTAGACATATTTCACAATAGCGTATG